AAGAAGATTAACCTTGTTTTTCTCTCAGTCAGCATTCCCCTGTGAGTTACACAGTAAAGCTGATTGATGTGATGGACATTCATGAAACAATTTTACACCAATAAATCAGTGTGTCTGTGTCTCTATAAATAGGTGTTTTGTTTGTTTCTTTAGAGCCAATTAAGCTTTTACGTAAGAAAATATAATATTTTGTAAAGACAAAAATAAAGGAGAGGAAGCAAAAGCAGCCTATTTCCCACTATTCTAAACTAATCAGATGCAGTTAAAAAAAAGAAATAATAGGATGTACAGTATATAATAAATGCACAGTGCAGTTTATAATGATGGGTGCCAGATGGCATCTTAAGAAAAAACAAAGTGGTTGTCTGAGGCTTAAAATCATGAAGTAGCAGAGGTAAACAGAAGCAAAATCTATCCACAAATCATTCCCTTGGGATATTCTAAGAATTTGGCCCAGTTTGGGTAAGCTAGCAAAAGAAATGAAAATGGGAACCAGTTTGCTGTGACTTCTTTATGCCTTCTGGTGATGATCTTTAACTATACCATATGTACTTGTGGGATAGATAATATTTTTCATCTATTTTTCATTCAGATTCAAATTCTGGCTTAAGAATTTGCTTTCAATCCATATTTTCAGCTTGCCATTTTTATAAAGAGTGTGAGGAACTAGAAACTCCCAGGTGTTTAAAACTTTCCTTGTTACATAATAAAAATCAGCTTAGATTCAATGATCTCTGCTACTTTTTCCTTCTCGTTTTTATACTTCTTTATTCTGAAAAAGACCAGTGAATCCTCTAATCCTTTACTGGTGCTGGCAGAACAGTTAAACTTCATTTCTCATTTGGTAGGATCAATTGAGACAGCTGGAGCATACTTAAAAACTATTTTCAACCAGATCTGCAACTTTTGCAAATAAGTCAAATGTGAGGTATTGTGGGTTTAGATTTGCAAGAACTGAGTTTAACTCATTTCATTTGGATCAAAATGCTTGACAGATGGTTATCATGCCTTTCAATCACTGCCAAAATTTAAACAAGTAACATAGATATGAAAGGATGCATTGTGAACTCTCTGAGGTGCCCGGATCTTGCAGCCCATTTATTCTTCAAGAATGCCTAATAAAAACTTCAGAATGGATAAACACAGCCAAGAAACCCATACTTTGGCACGGAGTTATAGTGGAGACAATTTGATGGACTTTGCCTATGTAGTGCTTCAAAATTCAGCTCAGAAATAATCAATCCAAAGACTAAATCTCCTGTCTATCTTCAGTCTGTGTTCATGGTTATCTAACTCTCTCCCTAGATTCACCTGTCACCTCAGCAATTTAAAGGAGTAAGAAATTGTTCTGCTTGAAGAATTCTATCCAATTTCTATTCAGTACAAGAGAATATATCATATTTATTATTTCTTGCTTTCTGTTTCATTTTTTCTTGCTTTTTAAATTTTATTTACACACAGCAGTGTGCAGTGCATGATTTTCTTTTATGTTTTAGGAGTTACCCTTTTCTTCTCTTCATCCTTTCAAATATCATTTCTGCCACCATATTTTCTCTATTCTCTTCCTGTCTCTATATTATCCCTCTCACATGCCCTGCTCAGCCCAAAAGGCTGCCTAATTATAAAAGCAGGGAAACACTCCAGTTTCATAAGGGATCAAAAAAAAAAAAAAAAGTCAAAACAGTCGAGTTTATTTAGAAGACCAAAGTGAGGAGGCAATGCTGCCATACTCTGGTATTTCTTTGGAAAACACCTGAAACTTTACAGAGAACTGTCAGTTCAGAGATGACAGAAGTACTTTCGCAACAAGTGTGGTGCATGAGATGAGCACTGTAACTCCCTTCAGCAAGCAGTAGCTTTTTAGCTGCATATTTTTGCTAACATATATAGGACAGGAAAGAATCAAGCCTCATTCCTTGCTTGCAGAGATTCCAGCTACTTAATGCTCTGCCCCAAGTCCTTCATCTCCTTGCTTTGAATGTAATGATGAGTCTGGCCAGCAATTTGCCCAAGAATAAGAATCAGTACTAGTCTATAATTCAGGGCAGTGAGTTGAAAACACACCCAATTTCCAGAGCTGCCAAAATGAGATTTCACATTCTTTTGTACCATCTACTGAGCGGACTTTGAGAATACCAGAATTCAAGTCTCGCTTGCTAATCAACCATTTTAGAGGCTTTGGATTTCCTGTTTCACAGAGGTTTAACAAGTTAAATTTCAGAAACAAATGGAAAACTGTATCTTTGGAAAGCTACATTAGCAATTCTACTTCAAAAATGAGTGCTTGCAGTTCACAAGTTACTACCTTATCCACTGAACAAAGAGAAGCTTATAATTTTCTGAATTTAATGCTTCATTGTAGTTTAAACAGCCATGGCCTTGTAGAAAGCACCTCCCAAAGAGGGGGAAAAAACCCTCATTAGAAGGTGTAAATGTCCGGAGAATAATTGCTTCCTGAAATGAATAACCTTGAAAGTTTGTTCAGGATGCCAGGACTGGAGAAATTAAGCAATGGAAACTAGGATATCCTAAAAGCAAGCCCAAGACAATTTAAGATGTCTCTGCTTCCCCTTTTGATGTCAGCTGGGGAGGTGGCCAAGAAGTTGCCACACTGGAAAGTAAAATGGAGATGTCCTTAGAAGGGACAGAAAATGTATGGAGCACGAAGGTATCATCAGGTGCTACAGACCTAAGGGTCTGGTGGGTGTCACGGTGAGAGTGACACTATTGCCAGAGTGACGAGGAATAGCCATGCCACAAGAGCACATAAGGGGATAAGAAGCCTGAAAGCATGGATAAAGGCATCTTACAAAGCATGCAATAACTTACACAGTGAATGATACTATTCAAAATAAATTCAGTAACTTCTCAGAGAAACAGTGGTCTCTCTGATCTCATATTCTCAACACCTGACACCTAAAAGATGATGAAACTGCACAACTAAGATGTCACCTATGTCCCTCTACCTCATATTTTCTCCATGGATTAGCCAGATTATCACCTATCTGTGTGTATCTCAGCCTATAGGTCCACATGAACATAGCTCTTTCTTAGAATTAGAGAGATAATTCCAGTATCACCACTTTCTAAACAAAAGTGAGATGTCCAGCAAGTACTGCAAACACTACACAAAACATAATCATCACAGTTGCTTATGGTTTTGTATTCTCTATAAATAACTAATAAAATAACCAAGTATAAAATGGAATCTTACCTATAACTTTTCCTAGGAAGAGTGCCTTTGGGGAATTGAACTGTGTGTCAGATGTTGCCGGCAGGCTGTAACTTGCTGGAGGATAGTGATCAAGCTGAAGAAAGAGAAAAATAAGTATAAAATAAGTATTTTGAACAGATATGCCCTCTTATAGTGTTGCTGAATCACATCTATAATTTAAGAAAAAACCCTATAATTACTGAAGAAGGGTGCTTCTGTCTTGATTAGACTACCCTATAACATTCCAACATGAGAAGTGCCTATACCTAATAGGAAAAATCGTCACTGCAGATGCCAAAAGAGCTCTAGCAGATAAATTCAGATCTTATTTTTAACTGATCGTAACTAATTGGCACACTGATGATCTAGAACTTAGCCATTTGTGTTTCTCTGAATGACAACTGTTAATATCCCAACTTGAAACTGTGGACTTGAGTAAAACATATGGAAAAACATAGTAAATTTTCTTACTTGGAAACAAATCTGAGTTTGTTCACAGTTTCTCGTATACTCAGAAATAACCAGTCAGGTTTCCTCAAATTTTTAATGAAGAGCAGAAATACATATTTGAAACGAAATTAAGGTTATATATTTTCAAATTGAAAGATTTTTTTTAAAGGTTGCAATTAAATGAATACAAGGAGTTAAAATACAAAAAGGCTACCGGTCTTAATCACTGCAGGTCCTACTGAGCACAAATTCTATTTAATTGCTCACTACTGGTTTCCCTAGCAAAAGGGAACCAGCACTTTAACATACAGCATCACATGCATCAGACCCACTGTTAATAAAAGCTGCAGGCATACAAAGTGACAAAAATATTCCCTTCTTTTTTCAGGTAGCAAATAGTAATGGCTCAGATCTCAGAACTGCCATGTATGTTCATTAAACTAAGATATAGATGTAGACGAGGTATATGGGAAAAAGAGTGGGGAAAAGCCTGATGCACAAAAACCTGATTCTCTTGTCTCTCATATCCCAATATTTTATCCTCACATAACTTCATTGGCTACAATGGAATTACTTCTCAGGCATTCTGATTGCATAGGATTCCTTTGCTAGGTTCTCCTTTGACATATAAGGATGCTGTATGCCAGGTTCTCCTTAACATATACATAAAATACGCCAAAGTAAAATAAATTATCTATCAATGTATTGTGGTGATGTTCTAGAGCCCTAGTCATAGTCCAGGTGTCCATTATGAGAGAGTATAGCAGATGCAATAAAAAGGTCATCCTTGCCTAATGCAAAGGATGTCCCCACAGAAAATTCTAATTGTGTCAGTAAGACATAACCAGAAATCAAAACTCACTTTAAACTGATGCATCTTAAATTTGTGGGCATTTGGATTCATGGTCTGGTCATTGAAAGTGGACAAACATTTCTGATTAGAGATGGAGCCAGCACCCCTGCCATCGGCAGCTTTGGAATCTCTTGGAGCAGTGGGGAAGCTTTGTTTGCTTTTCACATCCGAACTGTATGAGAAATACCCTTCTCTGATGCTGGGACTTGAAACAAAACAGTTCACCATGAGATAAAAGTGAGCGAACAGTGAGATTTCTGCCCTCCTATTTTTATTGCTCCTCTTTGTTCTGAACCGACATTATCTAATAAAAGAAGCACATTTTTCAGAGGAGCTTAATCTAGGCTTTTTTTAGGTCAGTGAGGTGAAGGACCACACACTGAGTTATTCCCAACGTTGTATTTTACTGCCATCCAGTGGGTGCTCAAGTGTAAGCAGCTAGACCATAAACAGCCTGCAAGCTTCATATGAAATACTAGACCACATCAGACTTGTATAAGACACACAATAAAAATGGAATTGTGAGTATCAAATGACATTTGAAAAGAAGATATTGCATTATTTAACAAAAATAAAATGGAATCTTTGCATATGCACAGTTTGATGTCATGAGTTTGTGTTAAATTGCAGTTTTAAGATTATATTCTAGATTTTCATTACAGGTACTTTTTTCTAAAAATGCATTCATTTCATCTGAGCCGAAGAAAAAGCCCCAGTGCAGCTCTGAGCACCTCACAGATGGATGTCCCAGGGAATGTGTGGTTTCAGTTTGTCTGGTTCAGGGCACCAGACTGCCCTGAGCTGAAGTTGCTGAGATTTGAAACAGAGGTTCAGTAAAATGCAATTTCTATTGAATTACTGTTCATTTTGATGATACAACAAATCTTAACTGAGATCAACAGATATATCAGCATGAAGGCAGATACAATGTCCACATCACCTTTTTTTTTTCTAGGACAATAAACCAACACATAAGACAAATTATATGAACACTCCATTTCCTGGTAAAGTTAAGTTTATCCAGGGTTTTCTTATATGTATATGCATACATTTAAAGGATATCTATATATACATTGGGAAGTACTGAGTGTGTGTATATATATCTATATCTGTATCACTGTCAATCCAGTCTGTGTATTAAATATTTTTATGCTGAAGACATTTTATGCAGAAGATTTTCAAAATCTTATGCAACAATAATAATAATGCTGTACCTCATCAGAAGTCAATAGAGCTTTCTACTCACTTCAGTAATAGCAGAATCAAGAACTGAATGTGAAATCATCATGACCAATGTAATATTCCTATTCTGCATTATTATAATGATTTATTACTTGTATTAAAAGTATTAAAACAAGAAACACATATTTTTAACACAATAGAAAAGGAGGTAAGGGGTAAGATTAGGGCATGGAGGCACCGATATGTAGACTGGACCCCTCATCCAGAGAGGTCTGCTGCTTGCCAGGGGCCAAAATAAAGGATGTTACAGAAAGGCTCCCAAGGATTGTTCAGGATTTGGACTATTATCCTCTAGTATTGTTTCATGTGGGCGCTAATGATGTCATG